GGGAGGGACCTTATCAGCCCAGGTGGCAGACTGGAGAGAGCAGTTGTGGGCAGTACTTCCCACTAGGGCAATAGGCTCACCCTCTGAGGGCATCTGGGACCATGAAGGGACAGTTTGCGATCATGACTGCGATGGCAGTGCTGGTGGTGGAGGAACAGGGCATCAACAGAGGGTCTCAAGTCTCGCTGGTGTGAGAACTGGTGGCCTGTACGGGCCTCACAGTCCCTGTGGGCTTCAACTACCTGGGTTCATAGGTCTTTAATGGCTCCTGGCACTTGTTAGGCCTGGTGGGTGCCAGGCTACATGGATGCCCTATGGGCACAGTGCTGTGTGGATGCCAAGCTGTGGCTCTGGGCAGAGGGTCTGGTCAGGGGGTCTGCTTATCCTCTGTGTGAACCCACAGTGTGCACACAGGCCACCTCAGTCCTTGTTTTGCATCATTATTACATGTTTTCTAACCTGTGTGGAGACAGCGAGCCCCATCTGAGTGCTGGGAAAGGTTTCCTCTTCCTCCTCCTTTTTACTTCTTCCTTGCTGAGGTGCTTTAAAGTGAGTCTCAGTCATCTTGCCCTTCCTTTTGGGGACAAGCTGCACAGGGTAGCCAGGCTCAACCCTTTAACTTCAGAGCAGCATGGTGTGGACTTTAGGAATACCTGATGTGGGACTCTGCTCTCACTGCAGTCAGATTTCTTCATGTGTCAGAAAAGAATTGGCTCTGTGGAGCCCAGCAGCACGTGATTACTGTCCCCTGGCTGTCGTCCTGTGAGGGGTTCTCTGGAACTGACTCCAGATCAGAGATAACTGATCCTGGAGCTGGATGGAACACTAAGCATCTAGATGAGTTTTGTGGGGACCCATGGGGCCATACAGATGCTGAAAGTAGAGGGAGGGGCTTCTTCATAGGAGACAATGCTGGTTCCACGCAGAAGGAAAAGAGGTCACTGGTATGGCCAATGTTGTTCCACCTGTCTCAGCTGGGACCCCTGGTGCCACACATGGTTCATACTGTTGGGAACAGCCTTGGTTTCACCAGTGTGGAGGCCTGCCACTATCACTATTGCCATCACTCATCTTCCAGGAAGCCCCTGTGCACCCAAGCCCTCTTGAGAGAAGCTACCATCACATACTCACTGAGGGATGTTCTGTGAAGCCCCTGGACTTAGGAGGGTGGTGGGCATGGAAGCTGGGCCCACTGTGCCTGCTGGAATCACGCAGGCTTCCCTCCTCCTTGGTCAGAGTGGCTGGGCCTCCACAGCTTGGCATGAGTCAGACTGATCCTTACAAGAGAGGGAAGATGTCACAGACCCCATGTGCTCATTTGCTCTGAGAATTCTGTAACAAAAACATTGTTAGATCAGCTGAGGAAACATGCTTATGTGTTAGCCGTAGTGGTCCCTGAGTGTAACCATATGGTGTGAAAGTGTGTGTGTGTGGAGGGCTTGTCTGGGGTCATAGCGGTCATGTGGCTTAGGAAGAGGAGGGTGTGTGTGTGAGCACGTACGTATGTATACATGAGGGCATGCATGCACGTGTGGCCATGTGCAGAGTTGAGAGAAAGCAGAGGTGAGGATACATGCATGGCTGATGGATCTAGGTGCTGATCTTCTGTAGGCCTTTTTTTTTTTTTTTTTTTTTTTAACATTTTTATTGTGCATTGAGTGAAAGTTGACAGAGCACATTCATTTTCTATTCAATAATTCATACACGTTTTGTGCATTTACTGCAGTCCCCATAGTACAACAGCTCCCTTTTCACTTCTTCCTGTGGTTCTCTTTTCTATGTGTTCTTTCCTATGCATTCCTGCCCCCCTGAGCTGTTTTCCTATCCAAATATTGCCCTTTTGATCACCCATGGTTGGTTCTAAGGGTGCACCTCCCTGATGTAATTGTTCACCTCCTGGGTCTATCTCTTATTGGTTGAAAAGTTAAGCCATGACAGTGTGTTGAATTCCAGGCCCAAAGGGCAACTAGGAGCCATAGTCTTGGGGGAGTTTCACTAGTCTTTGTCAGACCAGTAAGCCTAGTGTTTTTTTTTTTTTTATGCTTTTGAGTTTGTTCCATATTTTTCTCTAACTCCAATTTTGATCCCTTTCCAAGTGGTTGACAGTGTAGCTGGGCACCATCTAGCTCTTCTGGTTTCAGGGTCGTGTAGGCTGAGGTTCCCATGGTACATTAGTCCCTTGAACTACTTGTTTCCATGCATCTTTAATTGTCTGCACTCTTTGCTCTGGACTAGGAGAGACCAACAGATATATCTTAGATGGCTGCTCACAAGCTTTTAAGACTCCAGTCGCCACTTGGTTTGAGGTGGTTCAAGCTCCAGAGTGAGGGAAAGCTAGGGGCTGGGCCCCCTGTTCTCCAGTTAGCCACTGCACCTGAGGGTAGTCCCCTTCTCTTGCACCACTTTTTTTCTCCCTAAACTTTATTAATTTTTTGCTGTTGTTGAACAGATTCTACACGTACAGTTTAGTGACATTGATATTCTCCAAGCTGTGCAGCCATTCTCACCCTCCATTTCTGAGTTATTCTGCCCCTATTGTTGTTGTTGTTGTTATGTGCTGTTAAGTTGGACCCGACTCATAGCGACCCCTCCTTGGGTTTCTGAGGCGGTGGTGAGAGGCGGTATCACTACGGAAGAAGATTGCCCTTTTAGCTCCTTTTAGCATTTATTAATTGCTCCTTTTAGCATATATTAATTGCTTCCTATCTAGGAGCTCTGGTAGCTTAGTGCCTAAGGTACTTGACTACTAACCAGAAGGCTGGCAGTTCAAACCCACCAGCCACTCCTCAGAAGGAAGGTGGGGCAATCTACTACCGTGGTGGTACCGCCTCGGCAACCCAAAGAGGGGTCGCTATGAGTCGGGTCCGACTTGGTGGCACATAACAACAACAACAAGGGTCCTATCTAATTTTTCAAGTTGTTGTCACTTTGATCCCATATAAGCCAAACCAGTGCTATCTAGTCAATTCTTTCTCATTGGAATCCTTTAGGACAGAGTAGAACTGCCCCATAGCATTTCCAAGGCTGTAGATCTTTACAGAAGCATGTTGACACATCCTTCTCCCACAGAGTATCTGGTGGTTTCAAATAGCCAACCTCTTGATTAGCAGTCAAATGCTTTAACCACTGTGTAACCAGAGCTCCTCTTGATCCCATAAAGATAGTTCTTAAAAGAACATAATGCTCAAGACAGACCTTTTTATCTTAGGGCAGTAGTTTCAGGGGTCACACTTCTTTTAAGTAAACCTTGGGGTAAAGACAATGAGTCAGTGTAACGTCTGTTTGGGAGGAAGAGGTGTGTGTGTGTCAGAGTCCTGGGCTGGGTCAGTGAGTTCATAGGCCCCAGAGCACCAGAGTGCAGCGGGTTTAGTGATGTGTGATTGGTGCTTGCAGAGTTTTGGTGGTTTGGTCTGAAGCATCAGACTGGTGCTTTGGGAGAGTGCCATCACTGTTGTAGGTGCTGTCACTGGCAGGAGTACCTGTAGACCTCCTGGATGCCCCTAGAGGGTGTGGTGCTGGTCAGAGCCAGGCACCCAGAAGGCCCAGGAACCTCCCAACACCGGCCTTAGCATGGTAGGGGTGGGAAGCAGAGGGGGAGTTTCCTGAGAGCTCATGGGTATAGGTGGGGACAGGAAGGTGTGGGGACAGGAAGGTATGGGGCCTCCATTGTGGGGGGCAAGGACACAAACAGGTTGCCTTTCCTCCTCTGCCTGCCACTGTGTCACCAACACACGATAGGCTTTCTCTATGCCTGGCACCAATACCAGTGTTTCATTGTAGCTCATTTAATCACAGTTCTTAAGGTCAGATGGATTTTTCATTTACTGTTTGTCTTAAAACTGCCGAAAGGGTAGAAACTTAAGACCCAGCCCAGGATCATCTTGTGCCTGTAAGAGAGGGAGGGGGAGAGCAGGGTGTGCGTGTACACTTGCACTTCTGCGCTCCCAGCCCGTGCAGTTGTTTCAGGTTGTGCTGTTTGCTGAAGTTGCCAGAGTGGACTTGCACTTCCTGTCCCTTCTTGGTAAACCCGGTTGGGTAAGTGAGGCTGAGGCCAGGGCTCCCAGGAAGGAAGTCAGAGACGCAGCTAGGCTGATGGTTACAGTCTGGGTGTCATCCCTGTCTTTGTCTTGATGTTTCAGGAACATTAAGGTGCAAGTATCACCATGGGTACTTGTTTATACATGAGCTCATGTAGCTTGATGAGGAGCTGTGTGGGGATCCTTCTGGTTGGCAACCATTTCTTCAAGGTCTAGGCAGTGAATGTGCCAGGTTTTGTGAGACAAGAAGCGGTGTAGAGGAGATCATGTAGATATTTACAGTGCAACCATTTCTCAGTGTAGATGCCATCCTTCCCTCACCGACTGGCCTGTGGGCAGGCCCCATCCCAGACCATGGCCCTCAGCACTCTCTGTGGTACCCAGGGTTGCCATCTGCCATCTGTACCAGATACGTCAGAGCAGCTCTGACATTGGAGGGTTGATAAGTGATGAACAGCAGTTGCGACAGTTAAACCGGGCACACAGTCTTCTTACAGTTTACCTGGTTGTTGCCTTCCTGCACAAAGTGTGCTAAAGTGGCCCAAACAATGTGATGGGGCTCAGACCACACCAGGCAAGGGTGCCCTGCAGGTATGGCTGCTTTGGACACCTGCACGTGTCATCACAGCCTGAGTAGGGCCTGTGCAGCTGCCCAGCATTGAGGGTGACAAGTGATACATGTCTCCGTGGGACATTTTGGGTGTGGGACCAAAGTATTCCCTGGGTCTTGGCTATAGCTGTGATCCATGGCCCAATGGGGTCAGTCTGGAGGTGCAGGGGTGGGTGGGGTATGGCTAGGTACCAGTATCTGGTTGGCAGGCTGCTGGGAAACCAGCTGAGGGCTCTAGGCAGCAAGCTACCTGTGCTCCCTGAAGAGTCATGCTAGTCTGGGGATGGCTAGCTGGCTGCTGACAAGCCCTGATTTCATAGCCTGGCTTGGTGTGACACCACTTTGTGTTATAGGTTGGTGGGCCTGAGGGGATCCTACAGAATGGGGCTGTGGATGACAGCGTGGCCAAGACCAGCCAGTTGCTGGCTGAGTTGAACTTTGAGGAGGATGAGGAAGATACTTACTACACCAAGGACCTCCCGGTCCATGCCTGCAGGTGAGCTGGCCATCCTGGCCTAGGTGGGCCCTGCCAGGGGGATAGTCAGCTCTGCTGTGGCCACTATGTGGCTCTTGTCAGATGTATAGGCTGAGGTGGACCATGGTTGAGATGTGAAAAGGTGGTATTCTTGGGGATGAGGAGATACTTGAGCCCATGGTGCATACCACGTTCCTGATATTGGGCAGAAAGTGGGTTCATACCCTCTGGCCCTCACCCCCAGTCACCCAGCTGGAGGTGAGGCCTCTGCCTTCCTGGACTCCCTTGCTCTCCAGGAAGGACTTTCTGTCTGGTAAGCCCGAGTGGGTCAGGAGGCAGAGCAACTCGGGTTCTCCACAAAGGAATGGATCCTTCTACAGATTGATACAGTCAAGATGCCAGAAAAATTAGAATAGTCAGTGGCTAGACCTTCCTTTTGGCCAAGTTTGGAATCCACATTGAGAGTAGGCTCCATCCTGATGTTTAGATGTGGTGGTGTACCCAGCTGAGGAAATTGAGACAGGGTTTGGCTCAGGGCACCTCTAGTGGGTGGCTGTGGCCATGAGGGGGCCAAACTCTGCCCTGTGGCCCTCAGCCCCCAGAGTGTGCCATGCGAGACTGTTATTCTGGTCTGGCCCTTTACTCACATTAACTACAGGTGCTTCCAGATGGTGCCTGTAGGGGCACCCTGGTGAAAACTCAGGCAATGAAGCTCTGCCTGGCCTCCTCACTGGGGTCCCCTTAGCAGAAGGGGCAGGAGGCAAGTGTCAGTTTTTTCTGCAGCAGACCCTGCCTCTAAGTCCTCTTCAGTAATGGGGATTGGTTTTCTTAAAGACTGGGTAGTGTGGGAGCTCTCCCAAGAGGCTGCCCCTAGGCAGGGCTGTCCACTCTTCTGGGAGCACAGCGCCCTCTGTCAGCATGGCCCAGAGATGGCAGCTGCAACCATGTTGCATTAGGGCAGCAGGACCTGACCAGGATCTATATATGTCTGTATCTGCAGAGTCACATTTCCTAAAACCAAGGAAGAAGGGAGGTGGCTGAAACTGCCTGGGATGTCTAACCTATATCCTACCTGAGGGATGCTTTGCCACAGGGTGGTGTCCTTGTGGCACCCCTAGCTTCCCATGGGTTTGGGGGGCAAATTCATTTCATGTATTTGATACTGAGATGGTTGGGTTTGAGTATGTGTTTAATGAAAGACTTAAAAATGTTGTAAAAGGAAAGAATTTTATATCCTGCTTAATTAGAGCCAGAGGGTACCCAGTTCTAACTGCTGCGTTTGCCTTCTCAGTTACTGTGGAATCCACGACCCTGCGTGCGTGGTCTACTGCAACACCAGCAAGAAGTGGTTCTGCAATGGGCGTGGGAACACCTCCGGCAGGTCGGTACCAGTGCCCCATGGGTCTTTAATTGCGTTGCTCAGTCTGTGTATAAGCTACAGAGACGTTGGAGCGGAGCACAATCTGAAACGACACTAACAAACCTGGTTGTTTCCTTCTCGGTGACTGGTTTAACGTGAACCAGATGGTGGTGTGTGAACGCCTTGATGTATTTACCAAACTTGATTTATTCTTTGTGGTTCTTTTTATTATGTGAGAGGGGTTGGCTTAACTCTCAGTCCCAGTTTTTATTTATATTTTTCTATGCAATGAGCTCCTGGCATGCCTGCTAATCTTCATTACGGTGAGACTGGCATTGCTGCCTGGGAAGACGTTCCCAGGGCAGACATGACACATCCATACTCCTTCCACCAGGGCCCCAGGTTGCAGGACTAAATGAAGTTCCCCTGAGGGGTAGACCTCTTGTTGTCGAGGGGACTGGCTGTTTTGCCAGGAGAGTCCCATTTGTCCTGCTCTCAGCAGTGGGCAGTAGTACCCCCTCACACTGGTTTGGGAGAGAATGCTTCTCTTAGGTTCTCTTTGGGAGAATGAACTTAACAGAAGCCAGTAGCCAGGGCTCTATGTGTGGAAACAGACACGTGGCTGTGTCCCATGACACTCAGGGTAGTGGCACAAAGTATGTTGTTCTCATGAGGAAGGGAACTGCTGGGAAAGAGCATTTTAGAGCCATGAGAGCACATTCATGCCCCATTTTCAGAATGTTCTGGGTAATTGAGGTGTTGTTCTGTTTGCATACGGTCCCATCCAGCAGGAAAGCAATTAAATAAAACTCAGAGCTGGCACCCTCCATTTCCCGCCAAGAACAGGACAGTGAGCAGAGGGTCCCTGAGAGCAGACAGGGTCATCTGCCAGCTCAAGGGGCCGTATGTGGCCAGGTTGTAACTGTGATGCACAGCCATGGGCTGTCAGGGAGCTGGGGGCAACTGGGGAAATAGGCACCGGGGAGACCAGTGGGAACCTTGGGATAGGGGCTCTGGAAGAAGAGGGGGCCTCATGACACCTGAGCCAGAGCTTGTGGTGGGGTTTGCAGAGGTGAAAGGAGAGGCCTGGGGATACTCTGAGTATCTGACCAATGTGCTAAGGTGGTCCTGAGACCTGGAGCTCATCTCACTCGACTGGCTAAGACTACGGGTCCCGGAGGTAGCTGGCTGGAGCAGGGGAGAGTGGGCTGTGGGGCTAGCCGAGGCTGTGGTGTAGGTGAGTGGGGGTCACCGACACAGGAAGACACCAGAGAGGCCCTATACTTCAAGGAGGAACCAGCCAGCCCCACGCAGTGTTTCTATCCTAAGATTTCCAGTGAATGGGGTTGGGTTTCCTGCTTGTGGCAGGGGGGCAGGATGGAGGCAGGCTATGAGAAGTGACCCCGCAAGAGGTCACAACAGAGCTTTAAAGGCCGAGGAGACAGTGACCCGGGGGGAGGGCTCATGATGGGACCTTGGTGATGATTGACTCAGTCCCGACAGGCTTGGTTTAGGAATGTGGGAGCTGTGTGAGGCGTGTAGTGTTCTCCTTAGAAAGGGTTACAGTTGGGTGGGTTTGTACTTGGCGGGAGCCAGTTCAGGGAAAGCGTCCATCTCCAGGGATGCCAGATGAGGTGTGACTGGCTCTGCTGACGGGCCATGAGCCCCAGAGACTAGATGCAGCAGGAAGCCAGACGGTGTGTGTGTGTATGTGTCCTTGGGGGCATGACCACATGTCATCTGGCTGCAGCCACATCGTCAACCACCTCGTGAGGGCGAAGTGCAAGGAGGTGACGCTGCACAAGGATGGGCCACTGGGGGAGACTGTGCTTGAGTGCTACAACTGCGGCTGCCGCAACGTCTTCCTGCTCGGCTTCATCCCTGCCAAGGCCGACTCGGTTGTGGTCCTGCTATGCAGGTGCGGGCTGCCCTCCTGGGAGGTGGGCAGCTGTCGAAGGGGTGGGTGATGCTGGTCGAGCCATAGCAGCTGCTCAGAGAGCACCGTCTGCTGAACTTGGGCTCAAGGCTCAGTGTGTGGGGCCAGCAGTATACTGTTGACAGCTAGGGTGAGACGTGGGCCCAAAGGGACAAGGAGACGTGGCTTGGGGAGAAGTGGGCCTCTGGTCTCCTGCCACCCCCGCCCAACCGACCCTTGCTCTCTGGGCCCTCATAGGCAGCCTTGTGCCAGCCAGAGCAGCCTGAAGGACATCAACTGGGACAGCTCTCAGTGGCAGCCACTGATCCAGGACCGCTGCTTCCTGTCCTGGTTGGTCAAGATCCCCTCAGAGCAGGAGCAGTTGCGGGCGCGGCAGATCACCGCGCAGCAGATCAATAAGCTGGAGGAGCTCTGGAAGGTAGGCTGGCAGGGCTGGGAAGTGGAGGAGCCAGAGGGTAGGACTCTACAAAGGACCATCCTATGGCATGAAGTGACACTGCATCCCTCAGCACATACTGAAGGGCTGTGTCCTTACATGAAGGAGAGCTAGGGTGTTTGGGTGTTTCTTACTCTGCCAGCTAGGGTGGATTGTGGGCAGGAGAAGCTGAGGGCCCCGGCCCTGCAGAGACAAGGTGAGCCCTCTGTGAGGATGGCACAGCAGCTCCGAGGACAGTCCCCAGAAATTGGCATGAAAAGAAATAAGGGGGGCACCCAGGCCGGAGGCCACACCCCCAAGGAATCCTTGCTTAGTTCTGGTCACGCTGAGTCTGGCTGAATTGAGAAAGTCTTAATAGCCTAGAAATTTTAATTAGGTACTGATTTAATTGGAAATCTTAAATGCAAATTTATTTTCGTTCAGAGTGCAAGTCAAAATACTATCTAAGCATCGTCTCAAAATACTGCTTTTACCAGTCTCTGTTGCCACAGTTCTCTCTTCATGTGGACATGTCAGAGGTTCTGTCTTGTCTCAACTAGGGGAAGGTCATGCCACTCCTAGGTCAGGGCAGGGTCAAGAGAGAGGCCCTACCACCTCAAAAGCTGTCTCTTGTCTCTCGGGTGGGTGGTTGTAGAGGAGCAGCAAATCTCAGTGCTGGCCTTGGGCACAGGCACAGGCATGTTGGTCAGGTCCCTGGGGCTTGGGACTGAGGTTCCCCCATCCGCACAGCCTGTTGGTGGGATGGGAGCAGCAGCTGGGCAGGGGCCTGAGTCTAGGGCCAGGGAGGTGTTCCGGAACCAGGGCTCCCCTAGCCGTGTCTGTGCTGGGTGCCACGCGCTGAAGGCTCACGCTGGTGCCCTTGTGGCACTCTGTCCCTGGAGGCCCCTGTCTGCCACATGGTAAGAACAGAGGGGGACATGTCCTTGCTGCAGGAGAACCCGTCAGCCACACTGGAAGACCTGGAGAAGCCAGGTGTTGATGAGGAGCCACAGCACGTGCTGCTGCGCTATGAGGATGCCTACCAGTACCAGAACATCTTTGGGCCACTGGTCAAACTGGAGGCTGATTATGACAAGAAGCTCAAGGAGTCCCAGGTGAGGTGCGGGCAGGGCATGGATGGGTGTGCTTCTTCCACACAGGCGCCGTGGGCCCTCAGTGGATGAGAAGCATTGGCTGGAGCATATTCGCTTTCTTGTTGATGGGTTGGTTTGGAGGCTCTGCGTCACACCAAGGCCTACTCCATGCTGCCATGCTGTCTGCAGGACACAGCCCACGGTGCCCAGTGTGCCCTAATTGCCTACCCCCTTTCTCTCTACCAGGACCACTCCCTGCCATCAGCTATGGAGGGCTCATTCTGGAGCGTCTGGGCTGCTAACTGCTTTCCTCCCAGGGTTCCAGCTGCCATGTGCTCACCCCCACCAACATTCTAGCTCGGGGGTCATAGTGTGCCCTTGGGACCTCAGTGGGCACTGGCCCGGGAATGATGGACCCATGTGGGTGAGGCTGACGTGGCTCTTGTTTTCCATGTGCTCAGACTCAAGATAACATCACGGTCAGGTGGGACCTGGGCCTTAACAAGAAGAGAATCGCCTACTTCACTTTGCCCAAGACTGACTCTGGTAATGAGGATTTAGTCATAATTTGGTTAAGAGGTGATTTTAAGTTTTAAAATATTTGGACCATAGTAGCATAATTTCCCCGTCCTTGTAAAGTGCCCCTCAATTTCACCTTCCCTTTGGATGGGGGCCATGGCAGGTGTGAAAGTTCTAATAACCTCTTGCTGTCTTTTTCCATAAGACATGCGGCTCATGCAGGGCGATGAGATCTGCCTGCGCTACAAGGGGGACCTGGCGCCCCTGTGGAAAGGGATTGGCCATGTCATCAAGGTCCCTGACAGTATCCTCCATACCAGGAGCGCTGGGGTGGGGAGGGCCAGGGGACTGGAGAGCCATGGAGCCACAGCCAGAGTCTTGTGCTTTACCGGGGGGATTTCCTGTTTGTGGCAGAGTGGGTAGATTTTTGCTTGTTTGTGTGCCTTGGAGCCCATAGCAGCTGTGAGGTTGCTCCCAGCCTCATCTGTCGGCCTCACTCGTCTTAGACGAGCCCCTCATGAGCACATGAGGCCTGTGTGCAGGTCCCCAAGCCCTTGAGCCCTGTGGCCTCCTGAGTGTTGACCCAGACTTGAGTGTTGACTGGGCACCTGTGCAGTCTTAGCCTTGGGGCTTCAGCCCATGTTGTCAGGACCATGCCTGAGAGCACAGTGTCCCTCTTGAGAGGAAGGTCTTGGATGCCTATAAGCACAACTCTGGCACAGAGAGTCGACTTTCCAAGGATGCCCCCTTAACTCAGCACATAGACTACGGTGACGAGATCGCGATCGAGCTGCGGAGTAGCGTGGGTGCCCCAGTGGAGGTGACCCACAACTTCCAGGTGGACTTCGTGTGGAAGTCAACCTCGTTTGACAGGTGTGTCCAACTCACGCTCCAGGTTGTGGGTGGCCTTGGCCCTGCACGTGCTCACCTTAGGCTGTCCTCCCAGGATGCAGAGTGCGCTGAAGACATTTGCAGTGGACGAGACCTCTGTGTCTGGGTACATCTACCACAAGCTGCTGGGCCATGAGGTAGAGGATGTCATCATCAAGTGCCAGCTGCCCAAACGCTTCACAGCCCAGGGGCTCCCTGACCTCAACCACTCCCAGGTCTGTACCCACTGCATGAGGCCCATCCTCACCAGCGTACGGGGTGGCCACCCACCTGACAAGTCATGTGTTTGAAGGTTTATGCTGTGAAGACTGTGCTGCAGAGGCCTCTGAGCCTGATCCAGGGGCCACCAGGGACCGGCAAGACTGTGACCTCAGCCACCATCGTCTACCACCTGGCACGGCAAGGCAATGGGTAGGCACAGGCCTGGGGGTAGGTGGGCCAGCAGGATGGAGTGAGACATGGCCTTCAAAGCCACCAGCTACTGCACCCAGAGTCACAGGCTGCCCTGTCTCTACCTCTTGGGGGTTTGGGAGCATTTTGCAGCATGGCAGGCGTTAGTAGCACTGCTGCTTGTGAGCGGACCTGGTGAGAACTGGCCACCCAGCCTTGCTGGGTCTCAGTGGCTCTGGGCCATGCCACCATCTGCAGCATGAACTGGGGACATGCCATTGCAGATCAGAGCCCAAATCACCTGCTTTCTTCCAGGCCCGTGCTGGTGTGCGCCCCAAGCAACATAGCCGTGGACCAGCTGACGGAGAAGATCCACCAGACCGGGCTGAAGGTGGTGCGGCTCTGTGCCAAGAGCCGTGAGGCCATTGACTCACCCGTGTCCTTCCTGGCACTGCATAATCAGATCAGGAATATGGATAGGTAAGTGGGTGCTGGGCCAGGCAGGGGAGCTGCAGGGCTGAGCAGGCCATGGGGCCAGGCGGGAGGGCCATGGGGCTACCTACCCATCCCTGCTCCTCACGGGTCTGTGGCTTCCAGCATGCCAGAGCTGCAGAAGCTGCAGCAGCTCAAGGATGAGACTGGGGAGCTGTCGTCAGCCGATGAGAAGCGGTACCGGGCCCTGAAGCGCACCGCTGAGAGGGAGCTGCTCATGGTGGGTCCCCACACTCCTTGGCTTCCAGCTCAGGTTGTTTGGGGTTTTGAGTAGGAATTTCTTTTGACCCAAGAACTTGGTTAAACACAGTCCTTGAGGATGAAGCCGGGACCTTTGTAAGTTTAACTTTCTGTTAAGTACAAGGTGGCACATTTCATCAGTTTTCAAAAGAGGACTTATATACTCTCCTTTATTTTATGCTTCTGTCTTACACAATTTGAGACATCTTGTTGTCTAGATCGCAAGGTTTTTTGAGGGAGCCTTGTTTGTTGCTGGGACCATGGGAACCTGGTCTGAGAGCATGAGGGTGGGTGGGTCTGGAATGTTCTCTCAGTGAAACCTCAGCTCGAGTGGGCAGTCCCGCTGCCTCACAGCTGTCTCAAAGGCTGTGGGTCCCGGAGCCAGTTCCCCTTCTAAGAGGCTCCCTTGAGAAATGGTGGTAACAGTAGCAGTTGTTGTCCCCTAGTAGCCACAGGGCTAGTGACTGGCTGATGGCCCCAAGTTGCTATCTACCTTTCTGGGGCCCAAGGATACTGGAGGTCAGGACACCTGCAAAGGGCAAGCTGAGACATGGCTTTCCTGTTCTCTGCCCAGAACGCAGACGTCATCTGCTGCACGTGCGTGGGTGCGGGTGACCCACGGCTGGCCAAGATGCAGTTCCGCTCCATCCTCATTGATGAGAGCACACAGGCCACCGAGCCCGAGTGCATGGTGCCTGTGGTTCTTGGCGCCAAGCAGGTAAGCAGCTGTGCCACTTGGCAGGAGACCTGTAAACAGCTGTAGGCTCTGTGTAGTTGTTAATGTACAGGCTTGTTTCTGGAATGTGTGGGATGCCAGTAGAGCAGGGGGAACTAGGGCTGGGCCTTGTGAGGGCTGTGGAGCCCTCTTTGCACAGAGGGAGGGCTCCTGGAACATGGGGGGGAGCAGTCCCCGCATAAGCTCATCCACCCCTCCCTCCACATGGTGATGTCATGCTGCGTGGAGGTGGGTGTGGGCATTGGCCCTATGAGGGATATCTGTTCCAGCTACTCACCCTGCCTTCCCTGGTAGCTGATCCTCGTGGGCGACCACTGCCAACTGGGCCCTGTGGTGATGTGCAAGAAAGCAGCCAAGGCCGGCCTGTCGCAGTCGCTGTTTGAGCGGCTTGTGGTGCTGGGTATCCGGCCCATCCGCCTGCAGGTGCAGTACCGGATGCACCCCGCGCTCAGTGCCTTTCCCTCCAACATCTTTTATGAGGGCTCGCTGCAGAACGGCGTTACTGCAGGTAACAGGTCACCCACCTTTCACAGTCCCCGCATCTGTTCTGTTCACAGCCTGAGCATGGCTGTCACAGGCTACCACAGTACAGCTCTGATGGGAGGGCTTTTGTCCCCTGACAGCGGATCGTGTGAAGAAGGGCTTCGACTTTCAGTGGCCCCAGCCAGACAAGCCCATGTTTTTCTATGTGACCCAGGGCCAAGAGGAGATTGCCAGCTCTGGCACTTCTTACCTGAACAGGTGAGCAGCCTTGCCACCCTGCAGCCTGCAGTGTGGTGCCTCCTCACCCCCATCTTGGTGACACTCTAGCCCAAGGCCTTGTATCCTTGTCTCTTAGCATTGGGTTCTGGTGGGAGAAGTGGTAGACTAAGAGCAAATTGCTGAGCATGTGGTTTCCTAGGACGGAAGCTGCCAATGTTGAGAAAATCACAACAAAATTGCTGAAGGCAGGAGCCAAGCCAGACCAGATTGGCATCATCACACCCTATGAGGGCCAGCGCTCCTACCTGGTGCAGTACATGCAGTTCAGTGGTTCCCTGCATACCAAGCTGTACCAGGTACCACCACCGTGACCTTCACATCAGGACACGCTCAGGGGTTCTGCTTTGTGATGCCCCCCCCACATCCCTCAGGACAAGAGGAAGAGCTTTGGGGTGGACTTGGGGTAGTGAGCGAGGGCCAGTGTTGTGACCCGATTTCTGTCTGCTCCTGGGCAAGAGTCTTGGGTTTTCTGTAATGAGCATGTAAGTTTTTATCAACTGGTATATCAGTGACTCTGTTTCAAAGAAGACAGAAAAGCCTTGTCAGGATTGCTAGTGTAGAAAATTAAGGTAGGATCAGGGCACTTGGGCATGGGGGCAGAGGGTGGGTCTGTACCCCAGGGCCCATCCAGGACGTCACATTCTGTCCCAGACAGGCAGGCAGAGCCGAGGGGTATGCCTCCTTGCTGTACCTATTGGGGGTCAGACCACAGTCGGCACTCAGCGCCCTTGGACCACGGGCCCACTATGGCATTTCGTGGCATTTTCTTGTGAGTTTTGCTCAGTTTAGGGTCTTGGAGACACTGTGACTAAGAGACGCCCCCTTTCAGGAGGTGGAGATTGCCAGTGTGGATGCGTTCCAGGGACGCGAGAAGGACTTCATAATCCTCTCCTGTGTGCGGGCCAACGAGCACCAGGGGATCGGCTTCCTCAACGACCCCCGACGCCTCAACGTGGCCTTGACCAGGGCCAGGTAAGGGGTCACTTTCCCCCAGACTGCGCCATAGGGTGGGGAACAGTGTCCCTGGGTCTGTGCCCTCGAAGAGGACACAGTCTTTTGGCATCTGGTGCCCTGAGCACTCAGCCAGAAGCACCATTTGCCCCATTCGTTGCCCTCAGGCTGAGTCTGACCACAGATAAGAAGCAGCCACTCTATGCCATCCCTGTGGTAGGTCACTTGTCACATGCTTATCACTGGCCTTCGTCTTCAGTGGCTCTTCCATGAGACCTGGGCCAAGTGGGGGCCTATGAGGTTGCAGCATTTCTCGTAGGGAAGATCCAGGTCTTGTCTTCCTGTTGTTTCATTCTGGAACATACCCTCTGAAATAAGACAACTGCACAGGGACCAGCATAGTGCCTCTGGGGCCCCCACTCACCCTGACTCCTGGATTCCAGGCCACGATGGAGGCATGTCCACCAGGGAGCAGGCATGGGGTTGGGAGGCACTCCTGGGTGCAGGTACAGTCCCTTTCCTGCAGCATTCTGTCTACTCACCCTCTGAGGTGCAACAGTCATCTCATGTGAAGGGTGGGACCCAGCCCAGGCTCCCGGAGTGCCTGGCTGCCGCGCCATTGGGCGCCAAAATTGGCAGGTCCCTGAACCTGCACTCTCGCCCCACGTAGGTATGGCGTCATCATTGTTGGCAACCCAAAGGCCTTGTCAAAGCAGCCACTGTGGAACCACTTGCTCAACTACTACAAGGAGCAGAAAGTACTAGTGGAGGGGCCCCTCAACAACCTGCGGGAGAGCCTCATGCAGTTCAGCAAGCCGCGCAAGCTGGTCAACACCATCAACCCGGTGAGCATATGGGGCATGTGGCTGCCTTGATCTGTCAGTCCGGGGCCACTGTTGTCCCCAGCGGCTCTTGTCTGGGGGGTGGCAAATTCCTCACCAGTGTGCCCTCTCCACAGGGTGCCCGCTTTATGACCACTGCCATGTATGATGCCCGTGAGGCCATCATCCCAGGGTCAGTCTATGACCGCAGCAGCCAGGGTGAGTCAGCAGGGACCCCTTGCCCCACCTTTTATCCCTATCCGCAGCCAGGTCGTTGGTGGGTGACACTTGTAAACAGTGTTTCCTGAGACAAAGCCCCGTCCTGGGTGTGATTGTTCCCACTGGCTTGGTGTGTCCTGGGCTTGCAGTGGTGCTTCTGGATTAAAGCTAAAGGCCCCGCCATGCCCTCGAGGGTGATGTGTACCAATCCACACACATACACCCCCTCCCACCCACCTCCGCCTTCCCACACTCATTGCTGGCAAACCCTTCCCCATCCCTGTCCGTCCTGGTCACTTCAGCCACTCAGGGCCTCTTTACCTGCACAGCCAGTAGTCCTGTGGTCAAGGGCATCCTAGGGCCTTCCTCCACTGGGGCCACCCCACCCTGTTCTCAGCCCCTTTCCTGTTCACTCAGTCCCTTTCTCTCCCCCTAAACTGAATGGTGGGCTCCTTTTAGACAAAGGCTCCAAGGGTGGGTGGGTCCTGCTCCTGAGGCAGCTCTGGTGCAGGTGAGAGGGGATGGGCAGAGCCATGGCATCCGTTGCTGGGGTGGGAGCCCCCTTGGTGGGGAGGTGAGGCTTTTCCTTGCTGGTTTGCTTGTTGAGGGTGGTGTAGTATGAGTATAAAGCTGGCCATTAAAGGACTTTGCTTCTTTTTCATTAGAAGTCCAGGTAGTGTTCAGTATGTAGAATATTTGTGACCAGTGGTTCTTGCACTTTGTGCATATCAATCACCTGGGGGAGGCCCAGGAGGATGCTGGGGTGGATGTGAGGAGCTGCATGCACTCTGAGTGGGCTCCCTGAGGTGGCTTTGACATAGGACAGCTCGAGAAGCACAGACGGAACATGGACAATACCTGTGGTTGTAGACAGACAGGAGCTGTGTTGACTTGATCCCTTGCCATAGGGGACAGGCACGGCTCGTTTCTTGGTGCCTGACCTGCTGCTCCATCTCCCCAGGCCGGCCCTCAAGCATGTACTTCCAGACCCATGACCAGATCGGTATGATCAGCGCGGGCCCCAGCCACGTGGCCGCCATGAACATCCCCATCCCGTTCAACCTTGTCATGCCCCCTATGCCACCGCCTGGCTACTTTGGACAGGCCAATGGCCCAGCTGCAGGTAAGCACCATTCCTGCCTTGTTTCCTCCTCCTCCACCACCACCATCGGCAACACACACACACAAATACACACGGCATAGCATGTGCCTACTACTCTGTTCCTCTCTTCCAGGCCGGGGCACCCCAAAAGGCAAGACTGGCCGTGGGGGGCGCCAGAAGAACCGCTTTGGGCTCCCAGGGCCCAGCCAGACGACGCTCCCCAGCAGCCAGGCCAGTCAGGACGTGGTCTCACAACCCTTCTCACAGGGCGCGCTGACACAGGGCTATGTCTCCATGAGCCAGCCCTCACAGATGAGCCAGCCGGGTCTCTCCCAGCCCGAGCTGTCCCAGGTGGGCCCAGCTAGGGGCCTGTGCAGAAAACTGGTGTCTGGAACAGTGTACCTATGGCTCCAGGAGGCAATGGGGGGCTCTCCTGACCATGCTTTCCTGCAGGGCTCACCCCTACTTTGTCTTCCAGGACAGTTACCTCGGGGATGAGTTCAAGTCCCAGATTGACGTGGCACTGTCACAGGACTCCACGTACCAGGGAGAGCGGGCCTACCAGCACGGCGGGGTCCCTGGGCTGTCCCAGTATTAGAAGGCAAGCATGGGGGCAGGAGTGAGGAGGGGTGGTCAGGCCCTAAGACGGGTAGAGAGCAGAAGGGCACTCTGGGTGCTTGAGGTCTCAGTCTCCCTGACAGAGGGTTAGCAGTGTGGTGGCTGTGCTGGTGGGGGTTGGGTGGGGGCGGAGGTGGCTCTCAGACATCGTGGAGGTGTGCACAGTGCTCAGCTGTGGAGTTGCTCTTCCTGGGAACCTGGGGTCTGGCCCCAGGTGCCCTAACGTTTTTGCCCTCCTCTGTAGGTGGCAGCGGAAGAGCTAAGCGATGTGGCTTAGTGCATCAGCATCTTATTCTGGGTAATAAAAAATAAAAATAAATGGATACCTGTTTTCCACTGCTAAAACTGAAGCACCACTGTGAGCAACAGGAGAGGGAGAGGAGCAGGAGGGAGAGGAGAGGAGAGAGGAGCAGCGAGGCCGAGCGCCACTGCCGGCCCCACGGCGAGGAGACAGAGAGAGTGCGGATGTGCCCGCCCGCCGCCCGGCGGCCCAGCCCCAGGCCGGGCTCCTGTGTCCACACGGGTCTGCGAGCAGGCGGGCGGGAGGAAGACCCTCAGCTCAGAGTAGCCCTTTCCTCTGTTCTTTCTTTTGTTTTCTTCTGTCGAAAGGGGACTACGTTTTAGCAGGAGAAACTCCACACTTTGTGCAGAGCAGGCTCCTTGGGGTGGCACGGTGACCCTGCTGTCTGCTGCCGCCACCCATGTTCCAAAAGGGTTTCATTTGAAGAAAATACGGTGTTTGGGATTTTTGTTTATTTTTTTTTAAGATTCTTTTAAAGGAGTACTGAAAGTACACTTTTTCCTAAGTTTCTCTCTAAAATCTTAGCGGTGGACCTGGGAGATACAAGAAGTTTCCAGAAGCGAAGTTTAAACAAGCCAACAAAACTCAAAATTGGAAACACATCCATACGAGAGGAGGAACGTTGAGGTTCTAGCTTCTGGCATCGTCCTGCTGCAAGGAGGCGGCATAGCCGCCAGGGCACCTCGAGTTCTGCTGGACTCTGAGCAGCAAAGCGGCTTTCGGGGCAGGTGTGAGGGCCCCCGGGATGCATGCCCCAGCCAGGAGGGGCCTTGCAGGGTGGCCAAGGACCTGGTGGGCAGAGGTGAGAGACAAGAGGGCTGAAAGGCAGCTGTCCTGGCTGGAGGCTGCTCCCCTGGCCCAAGGTCCATCTGGTGGACTTGGCAGAGAGGCACACAGGAGGTCCCTGGTCTGTCCTGAGAGGTGGCCCACCCCAGCTGGATCCCCAGTCTGTCTGGTGTTTCAGGAGAAGCAACAGATTTAGAGAAGCCAGCTCTGGGATTGCAGGGCTCTGTGGCATCAGTGGGGTGGGGGCTTCCAGCTTGGTTTTGAGAGAGACTAGTTTTAATGGTGGAGAGCTGCCCCCCAGCTCCTGGCAAACCGAAGTTGGGGCAGTGGTCTCCCTGGCACCCACCCACTTGGGCACCAGAGCTCTTGGCCCTGTGGCTGTTACTGACCCAGCCCCCACGAGGCTTGTGCCTCAGGAGGGCGTCCCGTGGCCAAGCAGGATAGGTTCCCACCACCCACACCCTGCTGGTCCCTGTTGAATGCTTTGCCTCAGCTCCGCGCTTTCACTTTGTTCTGTGCCTTCAGGGCTGCGCTTATTCCGAGTTTGTGATCTGGGAGCGCCCTCTAAGGCCATGTACCTTTTGATTTTTGGTCAATTTGTTTTAAGCTGTTTTTTGACACCAATAAAAATTAATGAAACAGCTCTTGCGTTGGTCCCAGGGACGGAGCTGCGGGGGTGATTGGGCGGCTCCGGAGTGCACAGGATTCCTGGGTTAGGGAGGGGAGGTCTGATCACGCGGCCCAACTAGGCCAGCCCCACCTGGGAGCAGTGCCGAATCGCGCGGGGGTGACTCCCAGATGGTAGGCACCCGGGGAAGTGGAACTCGAGGGGCCTGGAAGTGCTGGGCAAGAGGCGCCGCCGCGGGACCCCCCACGTCCCGCTGTGTGCAGATGCGGGCCACGGCCCGCTTTCGGAGGCGTTAAGACGCGAAGAAACAAGCTGCCGGGACCACCGAGTGTTTTATTGTCCGCCCCCCACCCCAGTTCAGCGACAGCCGCATTCGTCCACCACCATGTCCTCGTAGTGTCGCAGCACCACGTTGTCGCTGTTGTCGAAGAAGAGCACAGAGATGGGCGAAAGGCGCGCGGGCACGCAGCAGGGCAAGCCGCCCTGTGCGCCAGGCGCCGCCGAATACATGAGCGCGCGCAACGCCGCGTGGTTGAGCGCCGGCGTCCCCGCGGCCCCCAGAGCGGTGGGTAGTGCGCATGGGCCCTGGCAGTAATTAGCCATGAAGCCGCGTGGGGCAATAATCCAGTGGTGCCAGCCAACCTCGCGGAAGCTCACGTAGAGCCGCCTCGCGCGGCATGGGCTGCTGCCCGCCGCTGGGGCCGCCGCGCGCCGCGGCCGGGCCAGGGGGTGGCAGAGGCTTGGATCCACGGTCACCAGCAGCAGCGCGGCCTCGGCTAGGCGGGCGCAAGCAGCGGGGCCCCTGGGACGCAGCTCTAGCGCTAGGCGCAGAATGCGCGGCGCCGAGACATTTAGGGCCCAGGCAGCGCCCAGGAGCTCGGGGCGCACCGGCGCCCTCAGCGTAGGCACTGCCAGGCGCAGCGGCGCTTCGCGCCCCGACTTGGACCCAGGTTCCGCTGCGAGCGCCACGGTCAGCTCCCAGCCGCCGGCCGGGCCCGCGATCTCTGCCTCCTCCTCCGCGAAGCGCAGCTCCAGGCGCGCGCGGCTCAGGCGCTCGGTAGGCTCCACGGCCGACAGGTCGAAGACGACGGTCCACTCGGAGCATGAGCCGGCAGCCGAGGCGGGCTCCATAGTCCGCGCAGACGCACCTGGGAAGGTAGGAAGCGAGCGATGAGCTCTGGGGCCATGGGAGGGGATGCTGAGGTGAAGGCGGGAGCACCGGTTGGAAGGCTTCGGGGAGAGTGAAGGAGTGAGGGTGGGGGCAGGGCTAGACTGCAAGCAGGGGCCCGCGGGCCAGCGAAGAGCGCCAGGGGTGGGGACGGAAGGAGGCTGGCAGGGGTCGGGCCCATCTGCTGGGAAGCATCAAATGGTGTGAAGTGGCAGAGGTGGGGGCAGGGCCTCAGTTGCAAGCAAGGCAGACCTCCCAGAACTGGATTATTCCCCGACCGGTGTCTGCAGCATGTGGAGGACAAGAAGGGAGCTCGGGGTGGGGACGCTCGGGGCCTCTTGCGGCCGTGCTCGATGCTCCCAACGGGCCGGGCGCCCCGCGGGGACTCGGCCTCTCCCCAGAGCAAGCCCCGCTCACCGCGGTCCCGGACGTGGCGCACAATGTTTCCGGCGACCCCCAGCTCCTCCACGTGGCACGGTCGCGGAGTGGCCCCCGGGGGCGCCCGCTGCGAGGTCGCCCTGGTCTCCTGAGGGGCCCCGCGGCGGAACAGGCGCCACATGATGGGAGGCACAGGTCGAGGCGTGGGGGCGACCCGGGGCGCGTCGCGCAGCCCAAGAGCCTGGAGCAGGGTGGCGGCGGGGCCCGGAGGCGGCAGGGCATGGGCCGGGGACGGAGAGGGCAACAGCAGCGCCGGGAGGAAAAGAAGGAAGCGGCATCCAGGGCGGCAGCGCGGCAGCGGCATCTTCCTCCCAGACCTCAGCCGGACAAGTGGGGCTGGTGCCGCCGGGCCCTCGGACCTTCGGGGCTGGAGGCGGAGCCGGTGTGACCAAGATCGGGGAGGGGGCGGGGTTGGCTGTGACCCGGGGTGGGTGCGGGGTTGTCCATGGAGGGAGCGGGGACCGGCTGTGACCAGGGTCGGAGAGGAGGGGCTGGACAGGGCTCTGGATGGGGGTCTCGGGGGTGGGGCAGGGGTCGAAAGGCTCAGAAGCGCTTGTTCTTCACCAGGCCATTCCTCAGCGGCTGCCTGAGAGTCAGAACGGAGCAGGTTAGGCTGAGGAGCCCACCCCCCGGCGATCCCTCTCTCCCGCTCCCACTCTGTCCTTCCACATGGACATGCAACCCTCTCGCCCTCCCCATGACTTTTTTTGTTCCCAAACAGGGCCAACTGCCTCCTATTCTTCTGGAAGCTCTCACCCACTCTGCACTGCACGTCCCTCCTGTCCGCGTGGCTCACAGAACCGCCATCAGTCCTGGGGTCACACTGCCCTCTGCAGCCTGGCTTCCCCATCCCCAGGTTAACCTCTGTGGCTGCGCTGGGCTGCCCAGGCCCCCAGAGTAAAGACCACCATGTAGCTACTGCAGGACTTGACTCCTCGGCCTGAGTCTCCGCTGGTGGCCTTCCTCCTCCCTTCTGTGAAAGAGCCTCTGCACCTGTCCCACGTGGCCCCTCTGATGGTGCCTCCTCCACTCCTGCCTTTTCACAACAAAACACAGCCACAGAGCCTAGGGTCCTGCTTCATTTCCTCCCCTCCATTTTCTAAAATGAGCTACTGCAGTGTGCTGAAACTCCAGTCGGTTCCTTATTAAATTAAAACTCTGAGTTACTGCATGAGCCAGCAGTCCCACTGCTTATACTGATGGGGAAAAATTGACAATAGAGACTCAAACAAATACAATAGGAATGTTCATTGCAGCACTTTTACAACAGCCAACAGGTGAAAACAACACAAGTGTCCATCCACAGATGACAGATAAACACAGTGCATTATTACTCATCCATACAGAGGACTGCAGCTCTGATACACGCTACAGTGTGGATGAACCTTGAAAACACGATGCTGAGTGGAAGAAGCCAGACACAAAAGACCACACATATCGTGGGATTCCATTTAGCTGAAATCTAGAACAGGCAAATCCACAGATACAGGAAATGGATTAATGGTTCCTGAGGAAGGGGGGAAGAGGGAGTGACTGCTAATGGATGTGGGGGGTAGGTTGAGGGGGGTGAGAACGTTCTGCAGCTAGATAGAGGTGGTGGCTGCACAACGTTCAGTAAATGCCACCGAACTGTTTGTTTTAAAATGGTGAATTTTGTTATCTAAGTTTCACTTCAATAAAAAAATAGAATGCACACACACATAAATCTCTACATCGATATGAGACATACCCACTTAGCCTCAGCTGAAGATCGTGGGGGGAAAAGACCTTTAAACACTGTAAGAGACTGTATATCAAACTGTCTCAAAAGACATCTTCTGCTACAACTCGTATTTTTCAAGAACAGAGCACTATTTGGGATCCGCCCCTCGGGTGATGCAAACGGATCGTGCTCCACTGCTAACCTAGAGGGAGGTGCGGACCCACCGACAGCACCGCAGAAGGCGGGCCTGGCTATGTGCTTCCGAAAGACCACAGCCCTGGGAGCGTACAGAGTTCGACTCTGCACACGGGACGGTCGCAGTGGGAGTCAACCTGACGGCAACGCAACAGCAACAGGCTTTTCCATTTTGTTTCCATGTGCCCTGCCACCCCCGGCAGGTAAATTCCATGCACCCTGTATGAGTTCGTGGCAGTGCTCTGGGGTACAGACTGGGAGGGGACCTGTTTGCCAGGGGTCTGCCCGGGCCCACTTCACCAGTCGTGACCAGGGATTTCTGTCCCAGCCAGAGTGGCAGAAGGCACCCTGCTTCTCTCTTGCCTTTGCCAATGCTCTGTAGCACCTTGTTAACCAAGTGACCAGCCTGCTGGCACTGCCTGTGGTCCTAACCCAACGGTCAAGCCAGGCACAACTCCCTGGCCAGTCCAGGAAATGCCTGCTCATGACTTTGCACGTTTTCTGTCTCTTGATGGAAGTTTACATGTGTCATCTAGTTTGTGTACTAGAGTATTGAGGTTTCTGAACAGGTAACGTATTTGCCTGGTCCAAATGCCAGAAGAGTCCCTGGGGAGCACAAATGGTTAAGATGCTCGGCTGCCAATCAAAAGGTTGGTGGCTCAGGTCCACCCAGAGGTGCCTCAGAAGAAAGGCCTGGCAGTCTACTTGCAAAAAGTCAGCCATTGCAAACCCCACAGAGCCCAGTTCTTCTCTGACACAAAGAAGTTGCCACGAGTTGGAGCCAATGGTAACTGGTAAGATAAACACCAGGGACTGCAGAAAGCTCCCAGCTCCCCTGTGCTTCCTACGGCTGTTGGCCCGCCACGATTTCTTGCTTTTGTGCATCTTCGCACGTATACAAGCCACCCACCACCCATCCGTCAGTCTGTTGTGCTGTGACAGTTTGCGTGTTGCTGTGATGCTGGAAGCCAAGCCACCTGTATTTCAAATACTGGCAAGGTCACTCACGGTGGCCAAGTTTCAGCAGAATTTTCGGGCTGAGACAAACTAGGAGCAAAGGCTTGGTGAGATACTTCCAAAAATCAGCCAAGGAAAACCCTCGGAGTCACACCAGAGCACTGCCCGGCGTGCCGCTGCTTCCTGAGTTGGAAGGTGCTCAGAATGCACAGGGCCTGCAACCATGCGCTTGAGCAGACCAACCATCGTGAGGATGACCAGGGCGACGTTCAACGTGCTGCACGTGGCGTTGCGATGAGTCGGAGTCAGAGCCAATACAATAGCAGCTAACCAGGCAAGGCATGAGCCTGTACAAGTGCTGTCATTTCCCCTGCTTCCCACCTGGCTTTGCAAAGCCTGTGGAACAGACCCCGTCACAGAAAAACATGAAGATATTCCTTGGAAACATGGCCCCCATCGTGCTCAGTTTCTCTTCTCTTGCCTGAAGGGACATCCCTGGTGGTGCAAACGGTTTGCACCAACTGCTAACTGTAAGGTAGTCGCTCAGCAGTGCCAAGAAGCAGGGCCTGGTGACTGCTTCCATAAAGATTTCTGACAAGAAAACCCTATGGAGCAGTTCTCGGTTACACGGAGTCCCTGTGACTCAAGACTGACTCCAGGGCACCGGGGCACCGGTTGGCTGAAGCACAGCACGTTTTGTGCATCTAGTCATCCCATCCTGTGAGCACGCGTCCTCTCTCTGCCCACTTCTCCAGGTTTGTTGATCTTTCTCTGACCTTTATCTGTGTGGAGATAAGCCCAAGGTGACATCTTCCATATGTCACTGTCTTCTGGCTCGGCTCACACGCTGAGGTGGCTCCTGTGTGGCCAAACTAATCAACCTTTGTGATTTCTGGCTGCTTCTCTGAATTAAACAGGCCTCCCAATTCCTGTTATTAATTGCGACAAATCCATTCTAACTCCTGGCAACCCCGTGTGTGCACAGAATGGCTCCACAGTGTTCTCAGAAGCAGACCCAGGCCCTTCAAGGCCCCTCGGGGTGGGTTTGAATCACCAACCTTTGGGCTAGTAGTTGAGGATGTAACCATCCTCCCCACCCTGAGAGTCCTCTCCCAATTCCTAGATGATACCACTTCCCCATTTTGCTTCTGGTCTGATCCCACTGTTTCCATTTCTCCGTTTCTGTCTTTGATAGGCATCCCCAGGTGGTGCAACAGTTAACCTCTTCAGAACCAGCAACAACCGTGTCTTACAGGACCAGCCCTCCCCACTTGTTTTTTTTTTTTTTTAATGATCTGTATTGTTGAGAATACACACAGCAGGACACACACCCCCACTTAGGTTTATTTTTAACCACAATTTTCCTGGTGACTCGTTTTTCTGCACAAACTTCAGCACACCCTGCCCCCACCAGTCAGTGTTTATTTCTGTAGCTCAGAAGGGGCTTCACTCAGGTGATGAGGCCTCTTTCTGAAATTGAGAGGATGCCTGTCGTTTCAGTCTCTGTCACGGGAAGAGGAGAACCAGGCGTGAGGACGGGTGCCTGAGAGACGGGGCGATGCGGGCAGGCACTGAGTGTCTCTGACAGGTAAGAGGAGTTCACTAGGATTTTCAAGGGCTTTTGAATGGAGCTGCCCTCAACCATGAAGGACAAATGTTCAGGGAAGGTGGTCGGTGGGAAGAAGAGTCGAACTTGACTCTTTTAGAAGATGTCTGAAGTGTCCAGTGGACGGCTGGTGTTTTCCTTAGTGCTACTGAAACAGAAATACCACAGGTGGGCAGCTTTAAACAATTAGGAATTTATTTTCTCACGGTTCGGGAGGCTAGAAGTCCGGATTCAGGGTGCCGGCTCTAGGGAAAGACTGGCTGTCGGCTCTGGGGAAGATCCTGGGTTCTTCTCAGCTGATCTTCCTTGGTTCCCTGGCGAGCCCCATGTGGCATCTGTCTCCCCATTTGGCCTTGCTGGTCTCTGTGCCGAATCCGCTCTCTCTGTGTCTCAGAAGTGATTAGGCTTAGGATCCACCCACACTGCCATGGCCTTGTTAACATAACAAGCTCTTGTTAGGTGCCACTGAGTCAGCTCTGACTCACAGTGACTCTGTGTACAATAGAACGAAACACTGCCCAGTCCAGTGCCGTTCTCACAATTGTTGCTATGCTTGAGCCCGTCATCACAGCCACCATGTCAGTCTCCTTGAGGGCCTTCTACTTTTTTGCTAACCCTCTACTTTACTAAGCATGATATCCTTCTCCTGGGAGTGGTCCCTTGTGACAACATGACTGAAGTACAAGAGATAAAGCCTGGCCACTCTTGCTTCTAAGGAGCATTCCAGCTGTTCTTGCAGGACGGATTCCACAACACAGAAAACCCTATTCCCAGATAGACTCACACCCACAGCTATAGGGGTTAGGATTCCAACACATCTGGGGAACACAATTCGATCCAGAAC